CACACCAAGGGCACTGCCGCCCCCTCCCTCCTCTGAGCTCCAGGCAGGATGGAAGAAAAAACGGATTTCAGACGAGAAGTCACGCCAGCCCTGGAAAACTCAATAAAGTCTTCGTGCGTAAAAGGAGCGTCCAAAGGCCGGTCATTTGACGTCAAGTCAGGCGATGAAATGACCTCGCTATTTCCCAGGGACACAGAGAAAAGTGCAGAGGGGACAATCAGCAGCGACTTGGTTGAGAGGTATGCAGAGGGCGCTCGATGCCTTAACGCGGGAGCCAGACGCACATTTCCTTTCCAACAAATGGCTCTTGGTACCGGCCCAGTGACGGGGAAGACGACACCGCCAGGATGAAGGGGCATCCTTGGTATTTTATATTTCCCTTCTCCACCGACTGTGAGCGGCTAGCAGAACACGCGGCTGGAAAATTCCAACCTCACCCGCTCTGCCTCATCAACTCTCCAGACAGGTCCCAGAGCTGCCGCCACCCCGACTTCCCAGATGGGGAGCGGCCCTTGGGCCAGCGTCAGTCCCTGGCCTGCACTGCCTGTCCATCTCCAGGGTGAGTTCAGCGGCCGGGGCCGGACAGTCCCAGGTTTCTGTTCCCAACACAGACCTTCCTCGCCAGCTCCAGGCTTGGACACCCCTCTCCCCTGAACACCCCCCTGCGAGGGCTCTTCAGCAGGGCACCGAGGAAGCTCGGCAGAGAGCGAAGCTTCTCTTCTTGCCCCCAGCGTGGTCTTCCCCCAGCCTGTCCTTACTGCAGTCTGTCCTTAATCTTTCCTTACAGGCCACTCGGGTCAGAACAGTGAACTTGTCCTCTCATCCCCAATCCTTCAGGAATACTGGGAATTCTGCCTTCAAAATACGTCCCCAGTCCAACCACTTCCATGCTGGCTCGGCCACCATTCACTCTCACCTGCGTTGCTACAACAGCCTCCTGGCAACTGGCCTTGGTCCCACTTCTGCCCCCAAAGCCTGTTTCCATTGTGGAAAACAGGGCTCCTTTAAGCATCCAAGTCAGGTGCACAGCATGCTGCTTTGTTGAAGACCCTCTGTGACTCCTCATGTGACTCAGAGTAAAAGCCACAGTTCAGCAAAGGCCCAAGCTTAGACAATCCATGCCTTTCCCACTCACCTCCTGTACCCTTGTCCCCGATGCTCCAGCCACGGACACTCTTATCTGCAGGCCTTTTCACGGGCTGTTCCCTGCCTGCGATGCCCTTCCACCCCATGCCAGCTCTTCCGACTCCTTCTCGTCTTCAGCCAAATGTTGCCTACTGAATAATACAACGAGGCCCCGTGCCCACACTCCCAACCCCGTCACCTGCTCTCATCTATCACTTTCCAACATGCTCTATCATTGGCTTATCATGTCCAGCCTGCCCCTTCCTGGCTAGAACATCAACGACACAAAGGCACAGAGCTTGGTCCATTTTATTCACCGATTTATCCCAAGGACTGGAACCAGTCTGCAGAGAGCACTTTTGCTGAATGAATAAGAGGCTAAGAAAGTGGTGAGGAGCCTGGTCCTGGGGCTTCTTGTCCTGCCAAGTGAAGGCCTTGAATGGCCCCATGTTCTGTGACCCCCCAAAAAGGAAACTGAGACCAAGAGCTGTCCAGGGTTCGCCAGGCCTCTTGGACTGTGAAGAGGCCAGGTAGCTGTGAGATGGGCCATGCAGGAACCCTAGATGCATTCTTGGCCAGCAGTCCCCTAGTGTGATATCCACAAAAACCCTCACAGAGATGAAGGCTAACAGCTCTCAAACAACGCAGACAACCCAATGTCCTCCTGACCCCTCCACTGGGGCAGGACTGAGGACAGAGTCAGAGGCTTGCCTTTCCAGACTTTGGCTCTTGTTTGAAGAAACCCAATCTGGGGAGACCACTGCATCACTGGACAGACCCACTGGGGGCTGAGGTTCACTTTGCAGGAGGGTCCCGGTGGGTCCCACTTAACAAGGAGCTACTCCACCACAGACTTAGAAATCCACTGGCCTCAGGGCGGCCTGGTATGGAGGAAAGGACTCAGGGCTGGATTCTCTGCCCCTTAGTCTGTGACTCTGGGCAAGTCACCAGATCCCACTAGGCTGAAGTCCTAACTTTTGGTCAACCACCTATTGGGTACAGTGTACGAACTCAGGGACCCTGGGTCACATATGAGCCCCAAGAGATTTCTGGCTACTTCCAGAGACAAGCACACAAGCGGAGTGCTCCACAGCTCGGCTCACTGAGTGTGCTCTGAGCAGCACGACCTTGTGTGGACACTGTGTGAGCACCGGCAACATGATCACACCCCACCACACCCCCACCTGCAGATGGAGACACGAGGCACAGTGGCTAACCCCCACCCCTGGTCCCCCGAGAGCTGGTGGTGGGCAGTGTGGCCCTGGCCATCTCGGGAGCCTGCACTCTCCACTGTTCCCCACTCTACCAGCGTGGCGGGAGAGCATGGCGCAGGTGTGTGCTGCAGGTTGGCGCCCAGAGCAGGGGTGGGAGAGAGCAGTGGGGAAAGCCCTGGGAGCGGGGTACAGAGGATAAGCAGGCATGTGCCAGGCAGGAGGATCCTGGGGAGGCATCTCAGGCAGGAGGAGGGTTGATGCAGCTCAGGCCAAGAGGCTCACAGTAGACTGCAAGACGGAGCTCAGGTCAGGCCAGAACCAGAGGTCACAGAGACTCCAATGGAGGCTGTGGGTGAAGGGTGGGCAAGAGCCCAGTGGCAGCAGCTCTACTGAGTCATCCTCAAGACCCGGGCATCATCCTGGAGGTCAGTGCTTCCCAACTCAGACACACATTAAAGTCCTGGGAGATTTGAAAATGCCAATCTCTGCTAGAAACTATGGTCAAGCTAGTGGTAATAAGCACCATGCTGGGTCTCCAAGTACTGTCTTCCAGGAAAGGGGACTAGGATCCTCGTTGAACCAATGGTCTGTGGTACGAGAAGAGCCCAGAAGACTGCTGAGCCAGACGGCAAGGAGCTGCCAAGGACTCAGAAGCCCACCTGGGGGGCTCCCGCTGGCCAACCACGTGGGCAGGAAGGACCAGGAAGGATAAGGATGATGGTGCGTTGAAGCTCATCCAACATGTGGACAGCCCTTGGTCAAACTCCGGATCCTCCCATCAGAGGACTCGAGGGAGCCCAGCTGGGATCTTAAGAACATAAATGCAGGAAAAGAATCAAGCGTCACTGGGTAACCAAACAGCCTTCAAAGGAAGCGCTCCAGTTAGCCAGTGGACAAGAAATGATGGAATTAAAATTCTGCCACTTTGCAACCCCTCGTTAATCAACAGATTTATTTATTTTATTAAAAAAAAATTTTTTTAATTGTAGTTGGACACAATAACTTTATTTATTTTTATGTGATGCTGAGGATCAAACCCAGTACCTCGCACATGCTAGGTAAGCTCTCTACCACTGAGCCACAACCCTGGCCCTGCAACACCTCACAAAGGAAAACACAGACGTTAGTCGGTTCCCAACGGAAGGACACAAAGACATTTACAAAGTCAGTTGCACATGCACATCCCGAAAAGGGAAAACGAATCTGATCAAGTTCCTAGATCCAACTAAGCAATTTACAAGAAATACTGAGAAACTTATTAAATGACTCAGGGGAGGGGGGTGCTCTGGAGGAACAGAAACCCATCACGGTGGGAGGCCGTTACTGGGGAGACTGGAGACAGTCAGGAAAAAGACTGCCAATCACGGCGATGGTGTCCCCCAACAGTTAAAACACAATTTTATAAGATGCACAATGACGTTGGCGATGCATACTGAAAGGCTCACAGGCAAAATAACAGCGTATCTGAGACCTGCTACAAGGTGCCGCGGAGGGGAGGGTGGAGGTGGGGCGACAAATTGGCCCTGAGCGCATCGCTGTGGAAGTGGAGTGAAGGGCACATTTGGCTGGCTTTTACTTTTTATAGCTTGAAATTTTCCATAATAAAAAGTTATAAAAACACTAAGCCCCACCCCCAGAGATCCAAATTCATTAGTCTGGGCTTCAGCTCTGGCGCTGGTACCTTTTAAGACTGCCCGGTGCTCCGACCCTCAGCTGGGGTTCAGGACTGTCATGATCACTCATGCCGGACGCTCCACAGCCTGCACTAGGACAGGGCGAGCTGGGGGAGGGAACTGGCCTGGAGGTCAGGAGCCAAGCACAGGGTCCTTGACATTGGGGAAGGGGGAGGGAGGGGGGTCCCAGACAGCGCCAACAGTTTGGGTGACTGGGGTGCTGCCTCAGGGCTGCCTATAGGATTCTGGTGGAGATGTCCAGTGGGCAGTTTGGCCTGTGGGTCTAGAGAGCCACATGAAGACCCTGAAGTGACACACAAACTGGGGTCATTCCCAAGACGGAGACGGGGAGGGGACAGCTGCAGCCAGGGACAGCATGAGGGCAGACTTGGGCCCTGCCCCTAGGAGGGGGTACCAGGTGACTCATTCCTCGCCTCCCACCCCTCTCCTGCCTCAGCCAGAGACCCACAGGGCAAGTGGCTCAGCCAAGGGGCCAGCCTTCTGGATAAGGGCTGTGACATTTCCACCCCCTGCCCTTAAAGCTCCGCAGATCGAGGCATTTGTTAAACAAATAGGTGACGGCAGCTGAAGCCAGACAACAGGAGGCTGGCCACCTGAGTCTGGGTGCCGAGCCACAGCGCTCACCCGCTCACCCGGGGACCTGGGCTGGAGCCAAGAGGAAGCCCAGAGCCCAGGGGCTCACACTCTGTGGGGAAGCTGACCCAAGCCAGTGACCAAAGCCTTCAGCCTCGCCTTTGTCAAAGGCTCTCGGTGGGGGAAGGGCCCAGAGTCCCTGCGACTCCAGGGGTGTTGGGGAATGGCCCAGCTTCCCGGTGGAGTTTAGTCTTGGGCCTTCTAAACCATGAGTGCTCTCTCTCTCTCTCTCTCTCTCTCTCTCTCTCTCTCTCTCTCAGCAAAAAAAAAAAAAAAAAAAAAATGATCTCTGATCACAGAGGACGCAGGGGTCCCCCCAGGGGCAGGGACTTACCACCGAGTCCAGGAACTGAATGTAGCACTCCAGCCCAGGCCTGGTTTCGCAGAACTGCCGGAAAAGCAGCCTCCCGATGGGCTGCCTGTCACACAGGCCGCAGTAATCTCTGTCTGGAGGCAAGAAGGAGAGTGATGAGGCCAGGCAGGCCGCCCCTCACCCCACCTTCATCTCCAGCCCCAGCCCCATGGAGCAAGGTGACCATGAACTCTGTGGACCCAGAGGGACAAAGTCAGGGCGGAGAAAGGTGCCAGTCACCACCCAGCTCCCATCCACCTTCCCAATAACCGGATTTCTGTATGGAGATGCCAATGGTTCTGGAGACTATAGCTCGGTCCCCTGGTTGGCCAATCAGCTAACACAGGCCCTGATTCTGGCAACTGGGTAAGGTGACAGACATGTGACAATCTGCAGACTGTGTGGGAAACCAGGGCAGGGAAGCTCTGGTGCTCTGAACCTGAGTGCGGGGGAGAGTGGGGCCAGGGCTGCTGCGGTGCACTGACACCTTAGAGGAAGCTGCTGAGGAAGAGGCTGACCTCCGGAAGAGCCAGGAAAATGACGATAGCAGACTTGGTCCCCTGGTGATGTTACACACCTCTAGATCAAACCGTGCCTGCAGCCCAAACCACAGCTGAAAAGCTTATTTATAAGGCAACATATTTTCTTTGTTTAGGGCAGTTTGAAAAAATTTCAAATTACTCCTAATTCAAAGCATCCTAGTGGACACAGTAAAAAAGAAAAGAAAGAAAGAAAAGAAAAAAATAATTTTACCCAATTGGAACAAAGCCCACTCTCAGAATCCTTCGAATTATGAAAACCCTGCATTTCTAGCAAAGGAGCTAGAGGCATGGAGACAGGAAGTCAGCTGCTCTCAGTCATTCAGTAGCCAAGAGGGTTCTGAAGAGGAAATAGAGCAAAACTCTGGGCTGCAAGACCCTAGAGACTGGAGTGCTAGTTATAATCTGCTATGTTACTTCTAACAACTCACTCAACCTCCCTGGGTGATTTTCCTCTTCTGAAAACCAAAATCACATGTTTGGAGTTGGGACAGGGTCCTTTCTGTCTCTTCCTGCAATGTCACTAAGACTTTTTCAAGAAGTTTTCCCTGGCCAGAAAGATGCTCACAGCACTTACTAAGACCTGCTGCCTCAGACCCTCCCAAGCCCTAAACAATGGGCCTTCAAATTTGACGTAGCTTTAGGAGAGCCACTGGTGGGAAGGAAGGACTACATCCTTGCTGGGTGTAGAGGAACTGGTCAGCATCCCTAAGAAAGGGTTTCTCTGGAGACAGAGGCCCAGGAGAAGAGCTGGACACCACCATGGTGCCAGCTTGCTTTCACTCTCAGAGTCTGCTCACAGGACACGGAGCTATTACTGCTGGTAAGGAGGGGGGATCCTGTGGGGGCCAGTTGCAGGCCCTGGAGCTCTGTCACCAGGGTTCGAGTCCCAGCCCCACCACTCAACTGACTCTACACTTGCCCCTACCCACCCTCCCCGTCCTCATCTGCAGGCTGGGTAGAGTAATAGTACCCGTCTCCTGGGACTGTCATGGGGATTGAATATGACAATGTCCAGCAAGTCCTCAGACAGAGCCGGGCACACAGAAAATGCTCAATAAACCCCACCCATTATCATCCTGGATGTGGGGTGCTTTTCGTCTGTTCTAGCTCCCTTTTTTTTTTTTTTGTAAAGGAGCATTTTCTGCCCAAGTCTGAACAAACGCCACCAATGTCTTCTGGTTCCAGAGGAACTGATGCCTTCAAGCCTTGGAAGATGGACATGTGACTCAAGCTGAACCAATCAGAGTCCTCGTTCCTCCAGCTGTGAGAGGGTCAAGGATGAGCACGTGATCAACACCAGCCAATCAGAGTCTTCATCCTCCCAATCACAATGACGAGATCAAGGATGACCTGGAGACTCAGCCATAGCCAATCAGAGGCCCCTAGAGTGACAGACCCTGAGGGAGAAACTGAGTGGGTCCTGGAGTCCTTGCAGGGCTTTTGCCAGAACTTCCCGGAGCTGGTCAGATTGTCCTTTCCAGCAGGCAGCGAGAACCCATGGAGACTGAAGGAGCAAGGCAACGGCTGAGCAGAGAGGAGACCTGGAGGCAGCCCTGCCTGAGGCCAGCCCTGGGCAGTGGGTCGTGTACTGATAGGGATGCTGCCTCAGCCAGCGGCAGCAGGGTCTCTCTCTTGGAATGGAAAGAGCAGTGACCGGGCACATGCTTGTCCTTCATGGGTAAACTGCCTGCGGGCAGGGACCATGTGTAGGAACTCGCAGGTTCTGAGTATGGTAGGCAGAAAAGGGCACTCGACAGTCACATTCTCTCAAGTGGATGCTTTGATCAACAGGGGTGAGCCACTTGCCAAGTGCCCCACCCCTGCCCCGCTGCCCCTGGCCCTTCTCCAGTAGCTTGGTGGCTCAAACTAGTGTTGGACTACTGCCTCAACTCTGCCCTTCAACCATGGGCCCAGGCGCCACGCTCCAAGCACAGATGGTTCACAAATAGCCACTCCAGCGAGCATTTAGCCTTGTCGCCTGCCAGGTTCTCCTGGGGGCGGGGAGGGGGACTGCTGCTGCAAAGGGCAGCAGGGGTGTGTGTGGGCGAGCAGACAAGATCCCAAGTGACAGTTTTAAAATGTCACGTTAGATGAGTGTCATTGTCAGCCACAGGAGGGAACCTGGTCACGGTGGCCTGTGACAGGTCTGCAGCCTGCACTTGTTAGCATGAGGCCCTGCAGCACAGCCTGCCTTCCCACCGCCTCCCACTGCACCCGATCCCCCAATGGGAGGAAAACAAGCCTTCACGGCCTTTGGCAGTAAGGAGCTTTCCCAGCACAAACACGGAACCAAAGTCAACTGCTCTGGACCAACGTCAGTTTTATTCTATTAGCGGGGAGAGCACAGGACCTCGTGTGTAATTGAGCAAGCTGACCCCTCGCCCCATTTCCAAAAGCAATGGTGAGATTTCCCGAAGCATGTTGTGATTCCTTCCGAGTTCATCTAACACAAGTCTTCCCTCTCCATATGGCGTTGGCCGTCAGTATAGAAACAAGGCTGTCATAAACTTGCACAGTAAACACCATGTGATCCCCACACAAGCTGTCAGCAATGGTTCTGTGCCTCTCCAACAGCACGGGGCATCCCAGGCAGGAAAGCCACGTACCGGAAGCCCAGGAAGGAATAAAAGGATTAGTAATCATCTTTTAAAAAATGTTTTAGTTATAGATGGACATAATATTTTTTTTTAGTTTGTTTATTTATCTTTTATGTGGTGCTGAGGATCGAATCTAGTTCCTCAATTGCGCTAGGCAAGTGTTCTACCACCGAGCCACAACCCTAGCCCAGTAGTCATCTTTTCGGAGTTGGTATTTTTCCCTTCTCAGTCTTAAAGATAAATGGGTTTTCCTTCTCCATCCTTCCTCTTCTCCTGATCCTTCTTCCCCACCTCCTCCTCATTCTCCTTCTGTTAATGTACTGGGAACTGAATGCAGGGGTGCTTTACCACTCCGCTGCATCCCCCGCCCTTGCTTTTGTGAGAGTTGCCCAGGCTGTCCTCGAAATTGTGATCCTCCTGCCTCAGCCTCCAGAGTCACTGGCATTACAGGCTGCATCACTATGTGTGGCACACGGGCTCGTCTTCCTAGGAAGCACCCACAACAGCACCAAATCCAAGTACAATGTCTGCAGTTGAAGTAGATGCACCCCGGGAGAGACAGTGTTTGGGAATGATCAAGGTGATGGAGGGGGCACCAAAAATAAGTTCTTGGTGTGGCCACAGCAAACCTGACAGCCAGGTCACTTCTGGAAAGTCAGAAGCATGTGGAGCTCTACAGCACGTCCCTGGGGGAGACCCTGTCTGATCTGCCTTAGCAGGAACTGGCCATGCTCTGAAATCCAGGCTGCAAGGGGCTGACCACCACCCTGCTCCCGGGTGTGGCTACAGGGCTGCAGAGCACAGGCCCAGAAAAACAGAAGCCATCGTCTCCCAATCTCTCTCTCAGGAGGGGAGAACCTGGGGTGCTGTCCACACAGGCACTGAGTGCTGCATACTCACTGTACACACACACACACACACACACACACACACACCCCACAGGCTCTGCTAGAACATAGAAATCCTGCTGTCGGCCATGTACCTCATTGGTGTTCCCTCTAAGCCAGAAAGAAGCTGTCCTATATAGGAGGGAGCACCAGGTTCTCTGCCTCAAGTATCCACAAATCATTCTTTGTTCTTTTGGGCCCTTAATTCATTCAACTGTCATCCCAGGTCTCTTGCTTATCGATATAGAAGTTTCCTTTAATTTTAAGGTTCTCTTCTTGAACTCAGGGGTAGGGCTTGAACAGTGCAGGGTGCCACCAAGTAGACCTTCCAGAGTGGCTTAAGGAAAATGCAGAGAAAGTGGTAGGTGTCTTGGGGTTGGGAGGTGAGGCATGAAGGCAGGCATCAGCAAGCCGTGTTGAGGGAGGGGTCAGCAAATTACTGTCCTTGGCAACAAGACTAACCACATGCAACGCAGGGCCGGGCCAGGTCACTTCCTTCTCTGCTTTTCCCAGGTACAGTATGATGCTGGCCACACTGCCAACCAACAGAGGGCGCAACGAGACCAGGGGCCCTACCCTGGTTGCCTCACCTGGCAATGGGGGGCGGAGGGGGGACTCCCAATCTGTTCTCTCAGTAGGCTGCTGACCTCAGGCGATTGCCAAGGATGGTCTCAGCCCTGCTGGGGGTTCTGTGTCACCTAAGAGTCCTCGGTTTCTTCATCTATAACACAGGGGAGTTCGAGTAACAATCTCTAAGCCCCTTCACACCCTGGAGAGCTTCTTGGGTGCTAACTTCATAAGGGCAAGTGATTGAAGGGATTTGGGTCAAATTGCCACGAGGAGCTGAATGACTCTGAATTGACTGGGACTGTCCTGTGCCCCGGGGGTGTCTACGGTATGGCTGGTCTCTACCCACTTGTTATCATAGTAACTCCCAGCCGTGAAAACCAAAGATGGCTGCACATTGCCCAAATTGCCCCTTTAGACCTGCTGCAAAGGTCACCTTTGGAGCTCAGCTTTAACCAGGATCCCAAAGCTCTGCTTCTGTCCAGCCCCCTGGGGATTCCTG